GTGGTATATAAAATTAGTAAATGTTGAAATATTATGCAATACTATATACACTTTCTTCTAGAGCAGTTCAACTTAATTCATATCAGCAGTATAAGATATGTAACATTTCAGTTCAGCTAATTAATTAAAAACTTATAATAATGACAAGTCAAGTTTCACTCGAATGCCAACGATATTTTACCGGCCATTCTGAAAGGTACGGCTCACAATCAGCTATGACTATCTTTTAGACACTAATCTCATTAGGAGGAAACCCAGTGATCCTGGTTTGCAAACTCGAAATAATTTGAAAGGGATTTCGAATTGATAGAACCTGAAAAAATGTATTAATTGACAGCCTCAGTAAGTGATTTTTAGTCTGACAGATTGACTGATTCAGGTTTTGACTTAGTTTAAAGGGCTCCCAATCATTTATTTCCACTTTTAAGATTTATTTAGTACGATGAATAAAATCATTTTAAAGATATCTTTTTGTATGTCTCCGCTTTTGTAATAATAATAATGGTATCATTCTATTTTGAGACGAAAAATAACAATAACAGTGAGAATGCTTATAGTTATATTTGGTTGATAACCATTATGTAACATATTGTATTTTTACTTTCCTACCTATACTAGGTAAGGAAAGTATTGCAATCGGGTCAAATTTCCGATATACGGTTTTCGACGGATCTATATGTTTCAGAGCCCCCTGAGTCCGAGGTGAAAGATAACGAACTTCCCTACAAAGCCAGATAAAAATTGTTCATTTTGGACAACTATTAACGAAATTAGAGCTATTCAATTTCCAATGTAAGATTATGGGTTCATATCCTGTTGTCAGAATGAGAGAATAAAGATGACTAAGTGAAAGTAAGAAAATCTGTTGCCTGCATCACACAATCTTCACTATTTTCTCTACTTTAACAGAAGTTATTGTTCGACAAAATTAAGCTATGGCAAAAAGTTTTTGATCAGCAATATTAGTGACTATTCAAATTTTTACGCTGATCTACCTCAAGTAGTGTTGCACAAAATCGGCCATGGTCTTGTACTTTTCAAGACCAAGACCCAGGCCACCTAACTGTTGCAAGACCAAGACCAGGACTGGTAAGAAAAATCGATTTATTTAGTAAAAGTTAAGGCAAAATAGTTACTTATACTTGAAAATCTTAGTTACTAAACGTTAATAATTGGTATAACCAATATACATCTTGCATTTAATACCTATAATTTTTCATTCAGGCTTAGTTAGGTTTCTCCTATCTAAAAAATTACAGAAATATCTCTATAGTAATAAGCTAATAAGTAACTGCAAGACTCTTGCGCAAGACCAAGACCATGACCAAGATTGAGTTTGCAAGACCAAGACTCGTCTCGGTCTCGCATTTGGGCAACACTAACCTCAAGTCGATTTACATTGCTTTAGTTTATCAAATAAATCGTATTCAAATCTTTTGTGTGATCAATTTTCAGGAAAATAAATCTAGTTCAATTCTTTCTTGTTTCTTCATGGACATATTTAAAGATATAAAAACTTTTGGTAGAAACTGTAATAGCTCGTGTGAGTGGACACACCAGATATTTTTTTTTCATTTCAGATGGTTTAGCTTTGTAACAATATCTGTTTTGTTTTTTGCTACAAAATATAACAGAAATAGATTTATAGTCTGTATATGTTGTTGGTTTGTCTTCCGCTCTAATTGTAATAAATTTGAATTTGGTAAGAAATTCGAAACCCGACTTTTATGGTGATTCATGTTACCTATCCGTACGAGATTTATATATAAGCATTCAAAAATTATGGAACACGAGTTAGAAACTTAAAACCCATCGAAAAATAAAAAATGAAAGAGCCAATAAAAACGAATAAAGAAGAAATGATATAAATAAGATAGAGGACAGGTTGGTCTATCGTAGATTGTCCCCTAATTAAATGTTTATGTAAGAGCAGCCATTCCCACATAATTCTGTCAAAGGGCTATCTCAGATGATCTAAGGTACCTGCGGTAGCCCTTCTCTCGAATGCTCTTGTTTCTGCTAGTGTGGTGGTGAGAGACACTGGCGGATCTACAGGGAGGGGAGAGTTTTCGAGTAAAAGCCCCCAAAAATTTCAACAACTATATTATATGTCAATGGAAAAATTGGGAGGTTTCCAACGGATCGAGACAGTATTGTATTTAAAAGATTTCGACTCGGTCATTAAGACCAAAGGAATCGATAGGAACTATCGGGCTCTGCGTTTTAAAGTCTAAAAGGCCCATTTTCTACATAAATTATTTCCGAATGTCTCTTAGGTGTTATGGTTATAGTCCGAGAGCCTATGGCAAAAAAGGTGTCATATTTCATAATAAGCTTTGTCCTTATAAATTGATCATATCCACAGGCCTGATTTCAATTTATAGTATTTATAGTCTTAAGACATCAAATGATAGTCAGTTAACCAATGAACGTGGATTTCAAGTCGAAAAATTGAGCCTACGATTCAAAAAGTTTACTTTTTTCGGTTTTTCTCATATAAAAATGAAAGTATGGGTTCTATCTATAATAGTTTGGTATGTGAAATTAAAGATGAAACATTTGCAATAGAAATGGTTATCAGCTTTTACTGTCTTATATACAGATTAAGAGCTGTGTAATAACGAAAGTTGCGAAATTTTCGAAACTGTTCTGTATAGTTTCGGAGTGCAATTAGCACTTATTAGGTGTTCAGGTTTTAAATTTAATTAATAAGGGTTAAAATTTAAATATTACTTTTTACGTAGTTAGTCTAAGACGAACTAAAAATCTATAAAAAAGATAGAAGGAAAAGAAAAGCTCTATGATTTATTGGACACATGATTGAAATAGATCTTACTGGGCTATAAGATTTTTTTATTTTTTATTTTTTTTCATGGCATTAAAGACCATGTAGATCTTTTGCTGCCTTAACAAGACTGTTCCATCTCTGCCTGTCTTTGGCTATTTTTTTCCATTTATTTGCACCCTGCTCTGTTGCATCTTTTTGATTCTATCTATCCATCTGGTTTTTGACCTTTCACGTGGTCTTTTGCCTCCCATTGAGGCATTCATGGTTACGTAGAGACTTCCAGATGGATTACTACGAGCTATATGCCCCGCCCATCTTTACCTCCGTACCTTCTTATGATTGACTCACCAGTTCCTGTAAGCAGTTCATTATTGATCTTTCTTCTCCATGTGTTAGTAATCTGATCCCAGATCGCCTCGATTACTGTGCGGAGGATTTTCCTCTCAAACCTTTCAACACAACAAATCCTTGGTTGGTGTCCAGGTCTCACAGCCAAATATTTGAACTTATCATAGCATTTTACACCCTTAATTCGAGATTTTTGGAGATTTCAATACCTATTTCTACATCCAGTATATCTGGATTGACATGCCTTATTCGTTCGTGAGGTCTCCTTGATTAAGAAGTTCCTGAAAATGTTTTTTCCAGATGTTCAATGTACATTCTTTAGATGCCATCAGAATGCCATCTTTTACGCATTTGCGTATTCATCGCTTTATATCCTATCCTTTCTTTGCTGCTCTCTGCGTAGATCTCCAGCCTGCCAGTTGTCCTCAATGGTTTGTAATCTTTCTTTGAGGAATTCCTTTTTTGCCGATCTTATAGTTTTGTTTGGCTTTTTCTTGGCAGCTGTATGCTTGATTATAACTATGAATAAGATTATAAGAACTAATTTGTTATAAGATTATAAGTTATAAGTTATAATATTATACTAGTTAGATTATTTCTGTTTCTAAGTTTGTTAACATTATATTAAAATTTAGTGCATTAATTTCACTAAAATTCTTGAATTTTTCATATAATTTATGGTTTAGTAAAGCATCCTCAAATATAAGTTCTTTCAAAGATCTGATTGTAGATAAAACCAACCAAGGTTAAATTTAATTTACTTTTAAATTTAAATAGCTTGATAAACGTCGTTTAATATAATTATTGAAATATTTAAGTACAGCTCTATTTATAAACTACAATCAACATCGACTAACAACAGATTATTTACATTGGAATAGGTCAGGGGTGTGGCGTAGATAAACTCCGTTTTCTGGTTTTTATACATCATAATTAAATAGAATTATTAATAAAAATTAAGATTGAAAAAAAAAAATAGAAATTACTGGCCATTTTTTACAATAGTTAAAAGTTTCTTTATAGTTATACAAACAGAAGAAATAAAAAAATATTTAGACATACTGATCGTGAGTATAAGTCTTTTTTATTTGCTTTACATTATTTAATTATAAGACTTAATTTGTTTGTCAATTATTTTTGTTATTCAGTTATGTTAATTTAGTATTTATTTTAAAAATCTGCTAATCGGTATATTTACGAACATTTTATAATAAATTACTGAACGTCATTACAAATTCGAAATTGAACATATAATTTTATTATTTATATATCACAATAGCATTACAGTAAACTTTATAACAGCATTTTTCTCCATATCTTAAAAATGAGAATAAAAATAGAAAATTGTAAACGAGCCTAAATTTTTAATAGAAAACATTACAGCTTCTGATATTAGTCAGTTATCCATTTCCATCGTGTCATAATCAGTAGATTTATTTAACAAAATAATTTTCAATACCAAATATATTCCTATATTTTATTTTTTTTTTACCTGAATATAAGAGACATGGGACTATGAGGTTGGAATTTTTCCAGTTATAACCTAACCTCTGAATTGCTTGCTGTCTCTTGGTGAATTTTTATTCTTTTATATTACACTTAATACGATGTATTAATAGAGATTATTATACTTAATACGATGTAGATTGATATGCTACTAAGAATTAGGTTGATCGGTTATCTTACTTACTTTCTCAACATCACAGATGTTACATTCTCCAATAGATAATAAATTACCAATGCAATCAGTCAACTCAATCATCGTTTTTATTTACAATAATCCAAGTAATAACGTTCAATTATCTTTACTAAAAACTGAGCTTCTTGAGAGACAAGGAGACCTGATTAACGCTTAAAACTGTCTTCAAATTTCTATGTCTTCCCCATCGAGAAAATATTTCGATTCATGGAAATGCCAGAGATCCTCTTCCGTTTTGATAGACGAAACATCAAATAGCGAAGCGGCGAAAGAGAAGAGTGAATACATTATAAACGCTAGGAACAGCTCAAACAATAAGTTGTTGGAATGGTTTACATCATCGGGTTCTTTCTTCATCGTCGAAAACCCTTGAAGGATGATATAAATAGCAGGAGGAATGAGGATGGTCGATAGCTGGGAGTGGTAGTACAAGAATTGGTAGCAGGCGACCGCGATGGCCAGGACACCAACGGCGATATCCAACAGTCCGAAGAGCACAGTCACAGACATTAGGTTTTAGACGCAGGAAAACCATTAGTAACCTTCCGTCGTCATCTTAGTAGTGATGAGTTAGGTTAATACACCGCATATGGTGAACTTGATTAAGGAATTAAAATATAAGGTAATTTGAAATAACTAAGATAAAAATAAATGAGGTTGATATAACTAGGATTTTTGACAGGAAAATAGCTTAATTTTTCTGCCTCTTCTTTTACTCTCCTGACGATCAAGACCAACAGTTGTGTAACAGTAATTTAGGTAATTTACTAAACCATCGAATTCCTCTCGTATCCAATCCTTACAATCCAAGATCTTTTGTAAAATCCTCAACGCTCCTTACTTTGTCACAAATAAAATCATCCATAAAGACCTTAATGTTCCATATGTTTCCGATTTGGCCCAATTCTGATACCTATCCTTCCATAATAAACTGCAGAACCATCCGAATCCTCTCGTTTCAAACCTCGCTTCCTCCTCGATCCCTGATAACCCTCCGAGGCGTCTGAAAAAAAGATAGCCTTGGGACCTTCTAATATAGAACTTTAATTTGAGTTCTACCAATGGGTAGTTTCTCTTCATATTGTACATGTCATGTTACCAATGTCACATTTACTTATTGTATTTTACATGTAATACAGTTGTAAATGTCAACAAAAAACAAAAAGAAAAAAAAGGTAATATATTTCGAAATAAATATCATATCTATTTCCCTCTCTCATTTCACTATGGCAATACGTGTTTAGCAGTAGTGTGATTTTAAGCATTGTATAATAACACACTACTGCAATTATAGCAGTATACAAAATACAGCTGAGCATACATCTAACTCTATTTATTATCTAATGTGGGTTGATGGTTGACTGTAGTGAATAATTATGGTTATTAGTGTTGCCCAAATTCGAGACCGAGACGAGTCTTGGTCTTGCAAACTCAGTCTTGGTCATGGTCTTGGTCTTGCGCTAGAGTCTCGCAACAGTCTTGCAGTTACTTATTAGCTTAATACTATAGAGATATTTTTGTGATATTTTAGATAGGAGAAACCTAACTAAGCCCGAATGTAAAATTAGAGGAGTTAAATATAAAAGTATATTGGTTATATCAATTATTCACTAATTATCAATTAGTGAACAGGGTTGCTCTACAAACAAGCGTAGGAAGATCTTGTTTGTATAGCAGCCCTGAAGAAGGCCTGAACTTCGGGCCGAAACGCCGACGAATGTGAAAATAAATACAATTATTTATTTTTACTATTTTATTTTGACCGATCACTCCAACCATCCTTCTCTTCAATTATTTACTTTTTAATTCTTCAATAAATTAAGCCTGAATTCCAGAGTCCAGAGGTCTTCCCGTCACTTGTCCTCTTCACCTTTGGTTTCATAGGTTGATGTTAACTGAACCCACCACCGTCTTACAGCCATTTATGAAGTCTTTGAACCACGGTAAGTTCTTCGCACTCATCAATCGCGGAAACTTCTCGCTGATGGCGTAAATTCTCGTGGTTCTCATTAATATGGCTGTTAATCTGTAGAATGCAGTGCAGGCCGTGACCACATGCTCGATTGTCCCTGCAACACCGCAAGCTGGACATGGAGGATTTATGTTCTGTTCGAGGGCACTTAGTTTAGGTCTGAAATCTCTATATCCCGTGAGGAATTGTCACACCCAATAGAAAAAAATCTGTTTCCCACATCATAAAAGTTTCACTTTCCCCTCTACTTTTAACTGAAATTATTGTCTGATAAACTTGGCCTATGGAAAAAAGTTTTTGATTGGCAATATTAGAGTGTATTGATTTTTTACGCTGGTCTTCTACAACCCGGTTTTATCGCTTTACTTCATCAAAAAAGTCGTAGTCAAATCTTTTGTTTGGTCTATTTTCAGGAAAATACATGTAATTCATTTATTTATTTCTTTTTTTTAAATCGACATATTTAAAGATATAAAATCTTTTCTGAAATCGGTAGGTATGTCGTGTAAGTTGACATACCAGATTTGTTTTTATATGAAGAGGACCCGTTTTGCATATTCTTTATATTAATATATAAAGCTCAAGATTCATATTTACTATTATAAGAATCATATTAGTCATGTATAGACCCCTTATTGAGGAAGGATTATAGGCTTGATAAAATTCTAAGAACAATTAGAACGGAACAGTATCGATCTAGAAAATAATAGGAAATTATACTAATACAGTAGGAAATTTTTAATGGAAAGCAGAGTCTATTGAAATCAGTAGTTTCTCTTCTTCTTCTTCCTATCTCTTCTTGTGTCATATATACATGAAATATATATGCTAATTAATTAACTTTATTGAATAAAATAATTTAGCGAATAGGTATTATTTCTATATACGAGCTTCAATAAGCAACGGTGAAATTCATCCAAAACTCCCAAATTTCTCCTCAATCGGTTCTTATTAAGTTAGGAATTCAAGGGCTTAGAAAACAACCTCGAGAATTGAGACGACTCGATGTATGGAGATAAGACATTTTAGAGAGCGGTGGGGTATATCTGGACCTGGCGATAAGATAACAGGCGGTCAGTAATGCTCGCTCATTTTTGTTGATTAATTTACAAGTCTTATCTGCTTACATTATTAACGAAATCGATTGTACCAAAAACGATTAGCTAGTTGTTTACAGCAACAGTTTAATTATACTGCGTTCAGAGAATTCGTTTTTTAAGTTTTATTTCAAGAATAAACGAAATATTTGACTCAATGTACACTCTTATCGAATAGACATAATTATTGACTATTTCTCAATTTTTTTTTTCGAATTAGGTAATAGCGATAAAAATATTAACAATTCGCTTTCAAAATCTAATAAAGCAGGACATAATTCTTATATAATCTTACTAAATACCAACAATCTATCCTGACAATTATAATGTGTGTTTTTGGCAAATACAAATCAAACACCATGGGTTAAAAATTAATACATCGTATTGCTCGAATGCTAAACCAAGACGAGTCTTGGTCTTGGTCTTGTGCAAGAATCTTCCAGTTACGTTATTAGGTTATTAATATTGAGATATAACTGTAATTTTTCAGAATGGGGAAACTTAACGCAGCCCGAATAAAAAATTGGAAGAGCTAAATGTAAAAGTATATTGGTTCTACCAATTCTTTGCATAGAGTAACTAAAATCCTCTAGTCCTGGAAACTATATTGCCTTAATTTTTATTGACTAAAAGAATTTTTTTTTTCGCCATCGTCTTGGTCATGCAACGATTTGGCGGTGTTGGTATTGGTCTTGCAAAGTGCAAGACCAATACCAACACCTCCTTAAGATCCTTGATGAGTGTTTCGAAAGAATTTTAGCTAAAAATGTAGGCAGATTGCTATGAAAGGTGTGTTTAATCAATCCGCTAAAAGGTATGTTACGATTTTTGAGTGGATGGTATGATCTTTCTTTAAATTTGGCATCTTTAATTACTCAGTCAAAACTCGTCAATGTTTTGAAACAATATGAGCTAAAAATACTGAAAAAAAGTACTATCTCGATTATAAATTGATTTGAAACGATATCAAGTGATCATATGTTATGAAAACGATTTGTTAATATTTTAAAAACTAAAATGTGAAAATAAAAAAAATATTTGAATAAAAAAAAATCTGAATTCAGAAATTAAGAAATTCTATCCACCCTATGGTAATATACATCCGTATATACATAAACATGATGATAGTTTGATTGGGAGTTTGACATTTATGAATGTTTAAACTTGGTGTAGTAATCGGGTTCCTTTCATACCCTAATTGAAACTCAAGGCTCTTTTGAATGTTGATTTGCACAGATACATGGGACAAAATATATTTGCCTGGAACCATACAATAATATGTTGTGAAAGGCACCCGACTATTACACCAAGTTTAAATATTCGTAGATGTCAATTTCTCTGTAAATCTACCAAAAAGTTTAAGTAGATATAGAAGTATATTCTCTTAGGGGTGGATAGAATTACCCAATTTCTGTTGTAAGATTTTTTTTTATTCAATTTTTTTTCATTTCATATCGCTAATGGCCATTTCTTACATTTAAGTCAGCCGTATTAATCAATTCATTTCACTTTAAGAAAAACTCTGATTAGACATTCTTTTTTTTGCTAATGACAGCACTTCTTTGATTTACAACTAAATTAGATTATCGGATATTACATTTTTAATTATATCCAACACAATATTGCTTATATTACGCTTGATGAACGCCGTGTTTTAACTAGTTCTATGTTTTCAAAGCTCTTTCAAAATAAAACCTCACAAAAATATGGTCCTCTTCATAAATTCGTGACTCCGTACCAAAATGTACCCATCCACAAAAAATTCATAACCCGTAAAAATGCGCCCCTTTTGACAGCACAACTTATAACCCATCTGGGAACTTGTGATGTTGCACATTTATTTATTTATTATTTTTTAAATTTTAGTTTTTAAAAATATCACCAATGATTCAATTAAATTTAAATAATAGTTATTATTTATTCAATACTGTATCCATTCTAATGATATAAATAATTAGAACAGCTGATCATTGTAGCCAACTCTATTTTTATAGGGTTATATTCAGTAATTGCAATGACTTAATTTTTGAGAAAACTTACTATTATAGAAATTTATATGATATATGCGTGAGTATTTATATCATTCGAAAACTCTTTTTTAAAACTTAGGATAAGTGTACCAAATGACTAATGCTTGTCAAGGACCGGGAGTTTTATAAAAACGAAAATGATTTTAGTTATAATAAATCCTAAATTATCTGGGAATATCCCTAAAAATTCTGTAAAGCAAGTGGGGGTACATGTGGAAAAAGAAAACAGGAAAATTTCAATAAACTGGTCGGCAAATGGCCTCTGGGCTAGCCACTGCCTTCACGCGTTACTAACTTTTTTACTCCTTTAATGAGTCTCAGTGCTTGTTAGTTCGGCAAATGAACACCAGGATTGCAATTAATGCCATTGCACTCTACGTCATTAAAAATAATTACCAGCTTAGTGATTTT